GTTGAACGCCGAGTTAATGGACATCCGGCCCAGTCGGAATCACACCATCCATGTAGTTGGAAATCAGATGTGCTTTTGAGGAGAATTCCTTGCCCAGGACTTCCTTTGAGGTATCTCACAATTCGAATGGCTGCATTCCAATGTTCTTCACGCGGTTGTTGCATGAATTGCGACAAGGTATGGACACAGTAGGACAATTCCGGTCTGGTGAAACACAAGTATATGAGGCGCCCAACAAGGCGTCGATACCTGTCAGGTTGATCAATGTAGCGTCCAGTGGCGAGTCCAAGTTGATGATTCTGCTCAAGAGGTGTAGCCACGGGCTGTGCACCAAGTAGGCCTACTTCTTGAATGATGTCTAATTCATATTTACGCTGACACAAAAATATTCCACTTGAATTCCTTGCAACTTCTACTCCCAAAAAATATTTTAAATGTCCCAAGTCTTTCATGTGAAAGCACTTGCTAAGATATTCTTTAAAGCATAGAATTGCAGCGGAATTGTTCCCACATATGATCAAATCATCTACATATACCAGAACCATCATTTGCACTTCATGGACAAAAAAAGTAAAGAATGAGTGGTCACAACTTGATTGACGGAATCCAAAGTTTATCAAAGCAGATGATAATCTGGCAAACCAACAACGAGGGGCTTGCTTCAAACCGTATAAAGACTTCTTCAATTTACAAACATGGCTCGGTTGAGAAGCATGAAAGCCTGGAGGAAGCTTCATGTAGACATCTTCATGTAGATCACCATGAAGGAAAGCATTGTGGACGTCCATTTGATGCAATTCCCACTTCTTTGTCGCTGCAACAACAAGAACAAGGCGAACTGATAAAACTAGATGAAGACCGGTTGTTGAATCTTCATAGTTCCACCTTCATTCGACCTTTGCACCTTGAGGTTGATTCAATTAGAAGCTTGAAACACCTTTGAAGAACCTTCAATGGTGGAGAAACAACTTGGATGGTTCGGCCACTTCAAGAAGCTTGAAGAAGCCTAAGGAACCTAGTTCAAAGGTTGAAAACCTTTGAAGAAAAACCTAGAGGAGAAGCTCCACGGTTTTAGAGATTTAAAAGAAGAGAGAATTCTAGTAGAATTTCTGAATTCATTCATCAAAAGTGAAGTATTAGGTCATATTTACAAATATATAGGGAGAGGTAGCTTGTAGTGTAAGCTAACATTAACCATGGTTCACTAGGAACCATGGTAAGGTTTAGCCTAACCGTCCATGATTTCTAAAACTTGTAGGAGAAGATAACCTTGACCATGGTTCACTTAAGAACCATGGTAAGGTCAGTCTAACCTCCCAAGGTTTAGAAGCTTGGAAGGCAAGCTTCAAAGCTTGAAGGAGAAGACTCAAATTTGGCCAAGAACAAGGTAAAGAGCTAGGTGGCCAAGACTCAAAAATGCTCACTTGATTTATTTTAAAATATTTGATTTGGTTTAGTTAGGTTCATCATATGATGATGAGACCTATCTAAGTCAAATCTATGAAAAATTAGGAGCAAAATGAGTCTAATGTGCAAAATTTTGCCTAGGCCCAGTTCTGGCCCAATTACTAGTCACACCCTCAAGCATTGCTAAATGTCACCCCTTTTTCCTACTGAAAAAATAGAAAATGAATGTATCAACAAGGGAGGTTAAATGGAGTTAAACTCTCCAAGTAACCCACCCTAAAATCAATATACAATCACTAATTAAAAGCAAGCAAAGTGCCTCACAAATACAAAGACAAAATTAGACCTATACAAAGGAACTATGTACAAAATATATACAATTAGAACTAGGCCTTCTCTTCATGATAGAGTAGTCCAAATGAAAAGTACCTTGTATTCTTATAGCCATAGCTGTAGTGACTAGGCCCTTGGCCCATGGTCTATCACGAACCGTAACTATTTTGACAATAGGGGCAAATGTCTCAGTATAATAAACCCCTTCTTTTTGATGATTCCCGAGAATAACCAGACTCGCCTTGTATCGCTCTATTGTGCCATCTGAATTATGCTTGATCTTGTATACCCATTTACAACCAAGAGGTTTCTTCCCATCCGGTACAGTTTCTAGAGACCATGTCCCATTAGTTTCTAATTCATGAAGTTTTTGCTGCATTGCGGGTTTTTTTGTAATTCCCTAGAAGCAAGGATTCATTCATTTTTTATCATTCCTCCTATTCCAACAGTTATCATTTTCGCATGGGGAACTCTCAGCGTTTGAATCGTCAATTTGGGCATGTTATGCCCCCCAGTCTTCTTGCACAATTACTGGTTTTTAAGTGCTTCCAATTTGATGTATCAATTTTGCACTTGATTACTAGTGATCTCATTATTTGATTAACACACACAGGTTAGGTTTCCCTTTTTATTCTTTTTTATTATTTACAAGGAAGGCATGTTATCTATATGAAATGTAAAATAGGATGCAAAGACACTTGAGAATTTCAACAAATATAATTCTCATTGATTTTTGTTTAAAAAACATCTTTGCATACTATTATATGTGCCTTCCGTCTCTAATGGATGCATGCTATTGTACTATCCTACGAGATGCATGATATTTATTTTCTACCTAAATTTTGTCATTTTTTTTTATTTTACTAAAGGTTATGATGCATGATTTTTGCTACATATTATTTGTTTTTTTTTTAAATAAACTATCCTATAAGATGCTTTTAGGTTTGGGTATATAGAAGGGAGTTAAATTTTTTATCATATATTTTTTTATTAATACCTATTTGTTTATAATTCCTCTCTATTTGAAATGAACAAAAAGAGAACACAACAAATGCAACACACGTATGCTCAAAAAAATGTACACCCGCGAACAGTCATGTTTAAATCCTTGGTCTGTGGTCCCTGCAAGAAAAGTGCATTGTATAGGACAGTTCTAATCTCACTAGTCTTAAGGCCCCCAAGGTGCCCCCATTGTAGGGACCCAGTATCTCTGTCGCCTTCACCTGACAAACTCTAAGGTCTGTCGCAGTATTTTGGGCTAGAGTAACCGGTTATCACCTTGAGTGTGATTTCCGACAAGGCTCGCAGGCTCCAAGGCCAAACTTGGGCCGGTCGTACGTCAACCACTCCCTATGTTTATTACCCTCATGCCCCCGGGTGTAGGGGGAACTGTTGTGTGCAAAGGATTGTGTACAATTTTTATTTCAAACAAATGCTGAATTTAAACAGGCAAACAAATATTAAAGCCAAACAAATAAAGCAAACAAAGTAAAGGGGAAAAATATTTAAATTATTATTTTTATTTTATTAACTTCATCAATTAAATGGGCCTGACCCTCTTTAAACGTCCCCAGTGGAGTCGCCATCTGTCGCAACCCGAAATTTTCCGATCTCGCGACTAATGGTTTAGACATCCTTTTAAAAGTCTCATCAATTAAGGAATGCCCGGACACCAGACTAATCCTTAATTAATGGTTTTGAAAATAGGTTCATGGAGTCGCCACCAATGTTTTACTCAAAACATTGGAAAAAGAAAAGGTTTTTAAAGGTCCAATAATGGTCTTGATAACCAGAATTGGGTTCGGGGGTCGGTTACGTATAGGGAAGGTATTAAGCACCCCTACAACGCCCTTAATCGGTACCCTATGACGAAGTTAACATTATAAACAATAATAATATAAATATTGAATCCCCTTTTATTGATAATATTTACATGCTTGAAATTTAAATTAAACAATTAACTTTAAAATATTTACATGATTTCTTTTATTATAATAATATTTATCAAAAATAAGAAATAAAAGAGAGAGAAGAAGATTGATTAAAATACCTCATAGCAAGCTTTGTTAGATCTTCCAATATGGAAATTGTAGGTGCTTTGTGGCAACCTTTCACACTACACAAATGCCTCACAATACTCAAGAAATACAATAGGAGAGAGAGAGAGAAAAATAGAGAAATTTTGAGCTCTAGAGAGTGCTGGACGAAATTTTCGGGGGTCCCCTGAACTGTGCCGGGATTTCTTATTTATAGGCATCAGACATGGGCCGGAACGACCCGTTCTGGATTCGGAACGACCCGTTCCGAATCCGAACGTTATGCAGCATTTTCGTGGCCTACAACGGCCCGTTCTGAAATTAGAACGGCCCGTTCCGGGGAACCAGAACGGCCCGTTCTGAAGTGAGAACCGCCCGTTTCGGGGTACAAATATAGCCCCTTTGATTGGTTTGGAACGGCCCGTTACAACCTACATTTTCTAGGCCCTTTAGAAGCCTCGGAACGGCCTGTTTTGATTCGAGAACGGCCCGTTTCGGACTTGAGAACGACCCGTTTCGATTTTGGAACGGCCCGTCCAGGGCCACTAAAAAAGTTAATTTAGGCTTTTAGGCCCTCTGATGTCCCATCTTATTGTTTGTTTGCCCCCGGACGAAATTGGGTGTCTACAATTTGTTATTATCAAAATTAAGATGTTAGATATACATAAGCATCCTTAGTTCAACACATTATTCGTAATTGGATAATTATAAAGGTAGTTTATTAGACCGACAATGAATCATGTGAAATAATATAAGTGATATAGAAATGATTTATACCTCGTGCATAACAAGAGTTGTGTTGTGGGTCTCTCGATAAAGTGAGATATGCAATATATGTGATTTAAACAAATAGACAATTATACTAATAATCTTCTATATTTCATTAATAATCTATACCAATAATAATAAGATATCTCTTTTTTGTGTATATAAATTTTGGACAATTTTATCTTTATTACTTCTATATTACATCTCCATTTATCTTTTATAATTATTTAAAAGACTACTCAATCTCTCATATTAATAACCACTAGCTATTATTTAGTATTATTTAATTTTAATTTTATTTGTTTAGAAATAGATTGAGATAGAAATTATATTTTTTAATATTAATAATAAAAGAAATTATTCAATCTTATCTCCACATTTATTTGAATAATTTTAATCATTTAATTAAACTACTTAACAACCGATTTTTTTCCCGTTTCACTTTTTTTTTTGTTTAATTTTCTTTTTCTAATTTTTGTAAATTTATTTACACTTTTAAAAATAGCCCAAAAATTACATTTTACAATACAACTACTTAACACTTAATTCTTTTTAACGGCTGACTTTTATTTTATTTTAAAAAAAAATCAAGAGGTACGAAATGAACCAATAACATGTTGATAAGAGAATAAAAAATAAAAATAAAATAATAATAATAATAATAATAATAATAAAGAAAAGGGGACAGGTGGCAGGATGATAAAGCAGCGTGACGCAACTAACACACAAATGGAATCGACCTGAAGAGGTTCTCCACATTTTTATTTTTCTGGCGATTCTTCAACGTGTCCTAACTCCCAACCCTCTTCTTCTTAACTACTCTTCTCTTCTCGTCTCTTCATTCTCCTCCTCAAACACAAAACCAATCACTTCCATTCCCAATTTCACTCGAACACACCAAATAGAGAAACCCAGAACAATAACAAGAAAAAAGTTAGTTTTTTTTTAATTATTTAATTCCCTCTCTGTTTTCTCATATTCTTCGATATTTTTTTTATTCTAAAAACCAAATAATGGAAAATTTTTGGTGCTGAATTTCGCAGGTGAAAAATGGCAAGCTCAGTGGAGAAGGAGGGTGGTGCGGTGGAGGAGGTTTTCTCTTTGGAGCTACCTGCTCCACCTGGTTGGAAGAAGAAGGTTCGTCACTGTTTCTTCTCTTTTCTCCTTTCACTTTCTCACTCTTTCGCTTCCACTGTTTCGCTTCGTGACAGAATTCGCTGCTTAAGTTATCTTAATTGCTTGGTTTTGCGTCGCCCTTCTTGTGTTTCGCGTCCATGTGGGTCCCTTTTATTCTCGCGCTTTTCGTTCTCCGCTGCGTGTTCTGAGCCTCGTTCCCGATACGTAATTTAGGGCTTTTTGTGCATTTTGCTAGATTTCGTCTATTTGTGTCATGTTCATTGCGTGTGCTTCGAAATTCACGTGAAATTTATCCGTAAAAGTCATCTACCGGGCGAGTGTCAACTGTCAAGTGGCTTTTAGGGTTTTGTGGTCGCGTCCAATGTTTTTCTGTGTCCAGAATTGGCTTTTGAATTTTGATTGTTTCTATTGGGTCTCATGGAATATTTTCATTAATCACGAAGTTGGTAATGAATTGTGAGATTGTGCCGTTTTCTGTTCGGATGGGTTGTTTACTTGCACCTGTGATTTTTTTTTTTTTTTTTTTTTTTTTTTGAATTTTCATGATTGGATTTAACCAAGATAACATTGTCGTCTGAATTATAATTAGGAGTGCTCAGTTTTTCAGGCTATATATGTAGGACTGACGCCATATATTGAATTTATTTTTTTGACTTACTTTGCTTTTGTATTTTTCTTAATCCAGTAATATGGGTTTATCATGGGATTTATATTTATTAGATTGTATATTTAACATGTATTCAATATTGAAATATCTTAACTTGAAATCAGGGATGCAGTTACAAGAAGTTAGAAATTTGATTTATTGTTATGTATTTATGACTGGTTTTGTGGCAACGTTCTATGTTATCATTTTAATAGGAGGCATGTGTGGACATACTACAAACGACATTTAGATATTTCTTCTTCTATATTTTGTTCTTGTTCTAGTGTGTGTTTATTGCATTCAATGTATTTTCTAGAAGGATGGTTCGTGTTGTTTGTGTCCCCCCCCCCCCTCTCCCGGAAACATTCAATGTGTACCAATTGGCAGGAAAATTGCTTTTTTTTTATAATAATAGATGAATCTGTAGAATAGAATTTCAGAAACTCAGAGGAGTGTGGTTCTTAATGTTATGTTTTTATGATTTTCACTAGCTCTATTATACTGAGCTGATCATCTGATTTTTTTTCTAGCATAGATCTCACATGGAATAACAGGGCATCAAATAATTCAGCAGGTCATACACTTCCTGGTGTTGACTTTAGTTGTTTTGAATACATTGCATGACTGATTATGCTGGAAATATTTGTGAAGCTGTGTTACTCTAGATCTGCTCTTTTATTAAGTTGGTGTCCACATAGTAATAGATGAATCCAAGCTTGTGAATGACACTCTTTTTATATTTTCCAATATATCTTTTACTGATTATCATTCTTCTGAGAGTATGTCTTGTTTTATTTATCAGAACCTTTTCCTAGCCCCCCCCCCCCCC